CCAGCACAGCACCAACACCTAGCCCACTAGCATCAGTATGTACCTCAGTGAAAGCATCAGGATCAAAACTCTTCAGAATGGGTCCTGAAGTTAGAAAAAAAATTCAGCTGTTGAAATACAGCTTTACATTTATCATCCCACATTTACAGTGTGTATTTAGAGAGAAGGAACGTTAGTTTGGAGGCAAGTTGTGCGAAGTTTTTATTAAATCGATCGAAATATGAGCACAGACCCAGAAAACTTCACAGGTCCTTCACTGTGCATGGTTGCTTAAAGTTACGAACCGCGGCGGCCTTCTGTGGGCCTGGTCGTACGCTTTTTTGTCCACGAGAAACCCTATTACTAGGAGTTGACATTTTCGAAAATGACCTTTCTTAGAGTTTGCTGACAAGGCCAGCTTTGCGTAAGCATTCAAGCACAAGTGACAAGCGGTGGTAGGGCTTTCAAAACTCTTTGGCGTAGATAATCTCATCATATAAATAGTACATGCAAATTTCCCGTATTAGTTCACGGATTACTGTATCAATAAATTACTCGAATGTCGCGGGACACAAACCAAAGGGCATAACGTTAAACTCAACAAGAATGCCATGTGTTACGATGGCCATGTATTATAAAGAATACATAGCAATATAATAATATCCAGAAGACAATTTATTGAAAATGGGAGAGAAAATGCAGAACAGTCCATGGCGTCATCTATGCGCGGCAAAGGGTAGACGCCCTTTTTTAAATGGCGTTTAGGGGAAGATAGTCTACGCAGAAGACTAATGAATAGTCCTCCCTGGCGAGAATGACAGGAGCTGCCCACGGACTACATGATTCTTGTATGACGGCCTTCTTTAGCATCTCTTCAACTTGCTCAGCGACGACTATCCTTTCGGACGACAATAGGTGATCGCGCTTCTGGCATAGTGGTGGTGCTTGGCCCGTATGGATGCGTTTTTGCGTACGTGAAGGCGGTGGTGAAGTGTAGACGTCTCGTCCTGGGCATAAAGCATAGCCTGCGAGCACCTTCTGCAGCAGAAACCATTCAGTCTAAGGAAGCAACTTATTTGTTACGTGTTTATTGATGGCGGAATAGTCAGGGTAGGAGTTTACATGGGGCTTCTTTACAGCCATCGATAGTTTGCATGGGGTTTTTACGACCGCCGACAGTTGAAGTGACCACACGATAAGAGCAGTTTTCTCGTGAGTGCTTGCTATTTAAGTCCCGCAGGCAGAGATATGGACTGCGTGAAAACGTTCACAGTGCCCAAAATGGAAAAACCGTCGAAGGCGAGCACGAGGCAACGAGACAAAGTGACGTTTTAACGCGATAGCCTTCGAAAGCTCATGTCGCAGAAATTTCACCATTGGCGTTGGCATCGTTGGTTGTGAGCAAAAACTTGTCCGTGAGTGAAAAAATTGAGAAAAAAGCAAATGAAATAAAGAATAAAATTTATTCTCCTATTGATGATTGAACCCTGGCCATTCGCGTGGCAATCAGGTGTCCAAACACACAGCCACGAGGTTACTTGCAGCTGCTTCGGGAAACAGAACAGCTGTTCGGGAACAGCTGCTTCGGGAACAGAATGCCATGTAGTGGAAGGAGTCTCCTTAACATACTATGTTCGACAGGTGTCACGAGGAAAATGAGCCCATTCGACGATTTGTAGGTGAATGTGGGAGGCCATCGATCTACGTCGAAAAAAGTCGGGATAATGGAGCCACCAACGCCAGCAACACAGAAGAATTTTCTACCAGCTCTAAAAATGGACAAGTATATCTAGCGGAAAACATATCATGCCTTTGCAAGAGCGTTGATCAAGCAATCAGCCAACGCTAGGCCACCTGTGAGGCAGTCTGAGAGTCTTTTTGGCCTAAGAAATGGCGAGCACGCAGCTTGTATCTTGGAGGCCATGCGACTCTTGCTTTAGATCAAAAACTTGTATGTACCATTCGCGCGCGCGCACGCGCGTGTGTGTGTGTACATCTGTGTGCCATCCGTGAGACATTGTGAAAAGCGTGTCTCAACTACAGAAGAGCGCCGAGGGAAGCGGCCACACTGCACAGTCACTGCATTACTATAAATACATGACAGATGCGGGCACCGGCTTTTGTATACGTGTGTGCGTGTGTGTGTGTAACAAAACCTAATAATAAGTATACACTTAGGGGTTGAAGGGCGCACTAAAGGCCGGGTTTCGCTATCGCGTTCAACTCTTAAATACGAAGCGTAGCCGTTTGAGGCGCTATGCACACAATGCTGTACATCACTCGTCTCTGCTATTTGCATCAAATATAAGGTATGAAAGAGCCAGATATATCGTACAACATAAGAAATTCGTCTTTATTTAAGCTCAATTTTCAGTGTACTGGTACAAATGGTCACTTTTCTGAAGGCACTGCCACGTTCGACGAGATATGCGAAGTGTTGCTTCGTGCGAGCAATGGGAAAAGAAGAATATTTCCTGCGGTCAACAAGGATATCAGCGAAAACAAATTTGCACTAGATTTCTAGCCTGAGAATTTATTCGATTTATGCCAAAATTGAGCGTCTTTGACTTTAGGGTAAAGAGATATTTAATTACAATTTAATTAAAATGAGTGGCTATAACACTCATATTTTCAAATATTATCTGCTTATTCTTGTTCCAATAGAATACTGTGCGCCTTGAAGTAACGTAGAAGAAATTTGAAACATTTACATATAGTTCTTCATAGGTGGGGCTTCGAAGGGTGGAGGGTCTCCCATTTTTCTTCGGCTCGGCAAAGCCATAGCAAACAGAGCTTGCGCGCAAACATAGCGGTATGCGGGGCCAAACGAACGTCTCGAGACTCGAAGAACTTGTTTTAGCTGTCATCAATGATACCTTACGTCATTGGAGAGGGCAAGATGGTACCTATTGCACCACTACCACAATCCTGAGCGGCACCGCATTTGCGCAGAAAAAATGTATACCAAGAATGATGTCGTGAGTTATTAGTTCAATTCTAATCTTTTATTTCCTACAGATAATAAATTAAACCAATACTGACAGGGCTCAACATTTCTCCCTTTACGCCACGAAACGCAGAAGTCCGACTCCAAGAAAACATTACTTTCGTCCCAAGATGATTTTCAAAAGACATGCTCAATATTATGGTGACCTCGCTACTCACCGTAGCGGATAATCACTGCGGGCTCATGCTTAGCGAGCCACATGGCCATGACTCCATCACCTACTCGCGTGTAGCGCACCGCTCCGTGCGCGCTCAACAAGGCGTTTAGCGCAGCGCGGCAAAACAGACAGTGTCCAAATAACAGATATATACACATACTTTATTGCCTTTGGCGGCACCCCGTCCACACGCGGGAGCCTTTGCTGCCTCGTGCGGGAGCAAAGGCTCTCACACGTGGACGTTCACGATAAGGGGAAACTGCGAGCACGTCACAGCTGGCAATGCCGAGCTTCGACATGCTGGTCGAGAAGAGGTCCCTTGCGGCTATGCTGTGCACTCTCACGATGACCACTGGGCCTGGTCGCGAAAGTTAGGGCAAACCTCATACGCGTAGGCCTACGGCAAGTGCGGCTTGGTTCGGTACGACCACTTCAAGCACTAGGCACCGCTGTTGGCTTAGGGTATGGTACCGAAGCAAGTACTCATGTATACATGCTTCCCGGATGCCAAGCCCCTCTCCCCCCCCCCCGGGCAGGCTATAGTACAGCGATTCCCAAAGGGGAGGTGGCAAAGGAAAAACTTGCTTACCCGGCGCCGACCAATGGCGGAGAGACCCTCTTCGGCACGAACATGACTCAGCCTCCCGATTCTCGCCGCGACCGAGAACATGTGCCGCGCCCGCGCGTGGCGCCATCTACCACCACGCGACGTTACCAGGGCACGGAAAGGGAAAATGAGCGGCCGTATGGCGGAATGCACGTTAAATGATCGTGGGCGCGCCTCAGATCCCCACATCCTCCTCTCCTTGTTTAACGCTATATACCTGTCCGCAAAGGCAGCCGGTCGTCGCCCATGCATGCAAAGACGTCATGCAATGGGCACCAGCTAGCCTCAGTATGGCCCTACAACTGCTGCTAAACAAAACAAATTGAACAACACAGCAATACGCAATGGTGCGGCGGAAGAGGGGTAATGGGAGTTATTGATGCTAACGCAAGAGAGCGTTTACGGCTCGGAGATGAAGCGTCGCGTAACGTTTGGTTTGGGTGACTGATTGGATGGAGAGTGCAAGGCGAGAGGACTGGTTGAGGCCCTCATGCGAGGAAAGGGCTCACCTTCGTTTCGTCGATGTTGACGACAAGCCCGCGAGTTCGACGAACACCGCCTCGGTGGAGGTTTGGATGGACCTCGCTGCGACAGCTGGCCCTTCTGGTGGAATCATGGTTGCCAAATCAACTGGCTGCAATGCGTCCTGGCGTTGGTCGAGTCGTGCAGAGCGTCTGCGACAGCTGGGCTTGTGCAGGAGCGGTGATGGAAAGGCCAGCAGAGCTTCTCAGTGATGGCCGAGAGCAGGGTACTATCGGGCTACCTAACGACTGCAGATCTCCAAACACCTCCAGAGTCGAAAGTGGTGTAGGGATTGGTAACTTCCTCAGTTGTCGCCACTACGCACAGAAGCACCACGCACGTACACACGCATACACACCTTCGATGATCGAGTCCCTCCAAACGCTCCCCCAAAGGAAGGTGCAGAGTGTCCTTTGTCCCTCTCTCCACGCTAGAACACCAATTCACGACCCTCTCCACTAGCGAGGAGAAAAAAATGGAAACATAGATATACATCAAGTAAACAAGAACACTCAAATGAAAATTATAAGCAGCAACTGGGTGGAGCCGATTTCCCTGCAAGCACTGGCTGTAAAGAAAATTAGCTAACTGAGACTAGACAGTAAAAATGAGGGCCTTCGGTTGCGGAAATAAGCCCACCGTCCAGCGCGAAATAAATCAGGTGACCGCTTCCTCAGATTATACCAAGGCGTGGTCCGAATGGGGTCCGCCGCACCGGGTGTGCGCCATTACTTGCGCGAAGAGCCACTGGGCACTGGTGCAGGCTCGTCAGACCTTGATGAAAAGGCTTTCAGGTCTGCGATGTGGGCAAGGCTGAGATTTCCCGAAATCCGGTCTTTCAGCAGGTACGCGAGCAGAGTCCAAGCTTTCTCCACTCGGTACGAACCCAGCCACTTAGGAGTGAGCGAAGCTGAGAAACCCTTGCTCGTGTCACTAACAACGTAGTTGCACTTCAGGACAAGGTCATCTACCTTAAATGAAAGGTGGCTATGTTCTCGGTCGTACTGGGCTTTTTGCTCGGCCCTGGCCGATGCCAACCGCGAGCACTTCACAGCTGACAATGGCGAGCTTTGACACGCTGGTTGGGAAAAGGTCCCTTTGCGGCTATGCTGCGCTCTCTCAGGATGACCACTGGGCCTGGTTGCGAGAGTTAGGGAAAACCTCGTACGCGTAGGCCTACGGCAAGTGCGGCTTGGTGTGGTACGACCACTTCAAGCACTAAGGGCCGCTGTTAGCTTAGCGTTCGGTACCGAAGCTAGCACTCAAGTAAACACGCCGGCTAAGATGCCAATGCCCCCCCCCCCCCCCACCCGGGCAGGCTACAGTACAGTGATTCTCAAAAGGACGCGGACGAAAGAATTTCGTGCTTATTTGGCGCTGACCAACGGAGGAGAGACCCTTTTCAGCGCGCACGTCACTCGGCCTCCCGATTCTCGCCGCACACGAGAACATGTGCCGCGCCAGCGTGGGGCGCCATCTATCACCACGCGCCGTTACTAAAGCACGGAAAGCGAAAGGGAGCGGTCGTACGGCGGTATGTCCGCGAAATGGTCGCGGCCGCGCCTCAGATCCCCACAATATAGAAACTGCAGCACCGGTATCAACTAATACACACATTCTCTACAAAACCACTCACTTTGTTCTTAAGGAGGCCTTGAGAAAGATGATTTTGTGGGCTCAACCATATCGGTTGCACCAGTTATTAGGGAGATTTAGAAAAACGTTTGCCGGTGTTGCTGGCGTTGCTTTAGTTGCGGGCGCCATATCAATTTTGGGGTAGCGTTTGCTCCTCCTAGATAAAAGTCCAGGGACTTTCGCTCTGACCGAAAACTCGGAAGCTACACGCACGGCAGGTACCCACACAGAAGCTGCACAAAGCACTTGGCGGGCCGCGCGGGCCGCAATCGCCACATGGTATTTCGGATTTTCTGCGGGCAGACCATGAACGCGAACGGAGGTACACGTTACGACGCATGCGCAGTGGCAGTGATCACACCGCAAGGGCTGGTGGTGGGCTATTCTAAATGTCCCTATTTTCGCACTTGCGTGACCGGTGACGCCGTGACGGTGATCGCTGTTGGCGTGCTGGTCGTAGTCAAATGCTGTGGTCGCAGCAAGGGAAGTCAGTACGAGCTGCGTTTTGCCGTTGGAAAGAGCACGGAAATGATCTAGACTTGTCGGTAGGCACATGGGACATGTACACCCTCAATCGTGGATCTCGCTGCTAATGGCGGTACCTGTACCTAGCAATGTCTTCAGGCAGCTCACAGCTGTAGCAAGTACGGCTGTCACGTTTAGTTGTCACCGGTGAGGTAGACCTTGTTCGTTGATAAAAGCCACGAGATGGCCACTGAGGAGTAAATCGCCGTGATGCAGCTTGCTAAGAGAACACAACTGTACTGCTATATTGAAATAAGATAGCGGCGGCATACTGAACTGCAATACCATGACATGAGATGGCCGCGTTAGAAATATGATCAATGTTAGACAGACGCAATTTTCGCTGCTACTTTGGTGCCCTACAGCTGGTTCGCGCTTTCGCGTCATTCACTCCCAGTGGTATTTTGTTTTTTCTTGTTGTTAAATCTTGAATTGCGTGTTACCTTATCGCTAGGTGACCAAACTGGTCTCGACTGGCAAAAACAACGTCAATGAAGTAAGTTTTTCATAATTTATTCTGAGTGCTCAGGCTGGTACAACCCATGTACACAGTCAGAAATAAACACAAGTCACTCATATATATCGAAAGCTCTCAACTCATGTGCGAAGACACCTAAAGTCCAACAAACATATGCATATACCTGAACAAAGCAAATGCTGAATGAGCGTCACTCCCATTGCGTTACGGCGTTCGATTTTATACCTTGGCTCTGGAACAAGTATCTGATCCTGCCATGAGCTATGCGGCGCTTGCCAAGTAGTCATTATTTTCAAGTGAAGTGAATGGATAATGTGGAATAGGGAACGAAACTTGCAAATTGCTGACAGATAACTCTTGCAGTGAGAGCAATGTAGTTTTGCTATTTTTTTACGTGAACATTCGCGGATGCCTGCAGTTATGAATCTTTGTCGCTCTGCGATGTTACCTTGATTCAGTACTTTATGATAGGGCATGGTCGCCTTGTGTCAACACAGTTAGCACGAAATTTTAATTCTCGGCCGTGAGCCCATATCATTGGTAATGTGTGCTTAGATGGTAGGCATAAAAACATTTCAAGCTTGTTTTGTTCCTCGGAACAGTTAGGTTACACAGTTATTACAAGACTTTCTTGTCACAAGTAATTATTGGTATACTGGGTTCGCAGTGATCATGTATGCTAAAAAATTGTTATAAGGTCAGTGCTTACACATTCAAGAGGAACAATTCATAGATAAAAAGCTTTAGGCATGCATTGTACACTTTTGTTGCCTTACATCTATGTTGGTGCTCATACAGCACGCTAAACAACTCTGAGCACAATCTTGTTTTCGTATAGACGTGTCGCTATAACTTGAACACTCACTTGCAAGCAAGCACCCCTGAAATCATTTGGTGGCTCACGATACGTACCTGTGCAAATGCTGGATCAATAATGGTCACATATACTCACACTTGTTGTGTTCACTTTTACAGTGAAACAAAGCTGTTATGACATCACAACTCGGGTCTCGCACAGTGCCGCAGTTGTCCACCACTGCTTTCGCCACTGGTGTCCGTAACCTCATTGCACGAAATTAAAAAACAAACTAGTACCAATGACGCAGAGGGGCTCAGAACCACGTCCGCTGGGTGCCAGCCCAGATTCTACCATGGAGCCACACCGGTGCTTGGAACTTGTTGGCAAACTTGCCTTAGACAGGCTTGATGTCGGGAAAGCAATCGCATTAAAACGACTTGTAAAGCGTTTTCAAACAGCGAAAGAACAAGCAGCTGTCGCACAATGTGAATAGCGTAACAAGTGGGTCGTCCAATGCTAGAACCTATCACAAAAGCTTGTTCTTGTTCAGCTATTAACCGTGGTTCATACCCACTTCAGGCATAATTCCTCATCGTCCTCAGCCACTGCATGAACAATTGGCACAATATTCCTCGCAATAGTTTAATGGATACCACGCTTCTAAGTATAATGAAGAAAAGTTGCATAGCGGATGCTGGCCTACTACTCTGAATTTTTTATTATTAATGCCGCAGTGGGCATCAAGCAAGTGTGCTTGCAGCAGTTACCCAAAGAATGCTTAGAAAAAGCTCTGAAATGCCACTCTTCTAACTTTCACTAGGCAGGCCTGGCGTTTTTTTTTTTTCCAGTATACTTGCGTTTGGAAGCTAAAGTTGTTTTGTCTTTGCCGCTTTCGGAGGTTTCGGCTTGAAATATGTACAATCTTGCAGTGTGGCTGAGGATAAGTCACATCATGCACCTTTTAGAAACACTACAACATCCAACGAACACATTTTTCCTCATCACGACAACATTCAAGTGCTTGGTGAAGCTGTGCTGCAAGTGCTCCTTACGTTTTCAATTCATTATTTGAAAAGGCATATATGGGTGAAGGCTAATGTAATAGAGTGCAGCTTTGTGAGCTTCGGCGTAACTTGTTTGCCCTAACATTCATGAGATAAGCACAGTAATTTAATACAAAGCGTTTCTGGGTGTAGTTTGTAAACTGTCTCACAAGGCACAATTAAATGATAGAAAGTCTGTAAGTGCTTCTCACTGCGCAAATATTCATTTTCGGATACAATTATTAATTTTCGCTCAATATTATGCCAACCTCTATATGAATATTTAGTCATAAAAATTGGATGATTTTAAAATATTTCACGCAGACAGGTTAAAACAAATGACATTTTAGCCTCGCAAGCAACAAGAGTGATTGTCGAAACATTTGCTCTGACACTAGTGCTCACAGATTTTTCATATCTTTACTCTTCCAAATTTTTAAGCTCCATTTGATCCACCTGCACTAATATGAACCAGGTAATGGCCGTGCACGAGTTCAGAAATTGTGCAGAACGAGGTGGATAATTACTTCTGCTCGTTTAGTTTATTGTGGCGTGAACTGCTAACAAAGTACACCGCACTCGCAGAGGTCTGTAAGGCACCTACGTCTGGATGCTGCGTCGTCTGTTCGGCTGTGCGGTCGGCTGCACTAAACCGGCATTATCAGTGTAGGAGCTGCAGGAAAAATCTGAAACTAGTTTTACTTTTGTACCTCTCCTGTACCTTTTCAAACGAATGGTACTATCAAAAAGTCGCCATTGTTGCCCCGCTGAAACGAATGACAAATGGCGGTACCTCGTCAAATGATTCAGGAGGTGCACGCGAGTGGAATCGACCTTTAAGCCCACAAGCATCTTTGCAATTCACCCTCATCAAATTGTGGTCACTAAGGCCAGGATCAAACCTGTGTCGTTGAGCTCAGGAGTAGTGTTTTGTTTTCAACGTTATTGAAGTGTACACTCCATAAAATCAGGGACAGCTAATTCTTGTGGCCAATGAAAGGCACCCCTTTGCGAGATGTGTGGTAAGACATTCACAAGTAGAGCATTGCAAGTGTGAGGTTCATAATGATTTGTTGTATCAGACGTTCAGATGTGTTAATGTGCTTGCAGAGGAGACTCTCGGAGGTAGCCACCCTGTCGTTGCAAGGCAGTTTAGAAAAACAAGTTCAACAAATAAACTTAGTTAAGTAGTACACAGCAATATGTTATACATATAGGTATTGGTACCTCGAATGACATGTTGTATCACTCGGGGTTGCTTCTTCGCAGAATATGTCATGTAGCAGGTACCTTGCCCTTTGCACACAGCTGCTTCTATGTCAGGTAGACCAGGATGATGTGGCAGAAAAAGAAGTATTTCTGATTTATGCGACGCTTTTTTTTGTCAAAATATAGCAAAACCACACCCATAGCTATGTGATGCCCCTCAAGTGCGGCTGCAGTAAACTAATAAATCGTAAGTTTTTGCCATCATTATATGGGCTAGCGACA